TTATATATCATCAGTGTATAGATGAATTTAAATGGATCTTAATATTCCACTAATCGGAATAATAGCCCAATTAGTAACTACCTCAATCAAAAGAGACTGGCCCGATCCATCCCGAATGGAAGGAAGTTTCAATCGGATTGATAGGGGTGGTGTAAACCTTTGATAATTCATTCAATAGGAAAAAAATAGCATAATAACCATGTAAATGTTTAATCAATCATTTCACTCTGGTTGTAATAAATATATTCTTCCTGCATATGTTTGCACCACGTGAAGGAAACATTAGGTGATATGAATGAGTTTCCGGGAGGGGAATTGTTTTTGGAGACCGTGCTGCATTCACATGGATTCAGGCAGACAGTCAGAAGGAATGACAGGACGGCAAAACGAAACATGCATGGCGATATGTTTCTATGGTAATGTCTCCTACACAAGGTCCATATCTAGCCAGATAGTTCGCTAAGCTAATATAGCATAACACTTTCCGTATTACCTGGTATTCCATCCAGCTCTGTGCTGATTGCCTGCCATAAATCAGCTTGTCTTGTAATATCTTGGTAAGATTTCAAGCTCTGGTAATATAATTCCGGGATATATATACATCAAATGCATAAAAATGCACTGCTTTTTAACAGTTAACCTGGAAAGCGTGCTCACTCTGATTGGGCCCTAACTGAGTTTTCTAGCCTTACTCTTAATAACGAATAAGTATATAAACCCCTAACCCTTTAACGCCCTGGGTACCCCTTTAGAGTCTTTTTTAAGACATTCAGGGCTCCGTGGTTAAGTTAGCAATGCTTAGCAACAATAAATATGTAATGTCTGGTTAGACTTAAAATAAAACACTAGCATCACGAAACATTGCCATTTTGAAGTTGTGAAATGTTGCAATTTGATTAGGTTTAGGCACAAAAAGTACACTTTGTAAGGTTTAGGCAACAAAACCTGAGGACAGGCTATGAATGGTACGAACGTCAGTTAACATGTAAGTTAACTAACCTCACTTGCGTAACTTACGTAATGTACGTAACTTAAAAAAAATGAACGTTGTCTTTTTGTTTCAAATAGAACATAAACACAGCTGTCCTGGTTCAAAGTCGCGGTTCTGGCCCTCCATCCACCCCAACCACCACTTTACTCAGTCTTTTGTGTTAAATATCATATACCTACCTTTACCGTCAAAAACTGACGCTACAGGGCTTCCCCCACTGCGTTGAACTATGACGCTATAGGGATGCCCAGTGCATTACAAACTGACACCAATGGGTCTTGACCATGCATCCATATGTGACGAGTCGGGGAGTGAGAAGGGGTTGATTTTGGGCATGTTATGTCTTTATTTGAAAGCCACGTATCACATGTTAATTTGTAAACTTTAGAGGTGCTGGTAGGTGTAATTAGTTACCTTTGGGCAGAGCCAGGCTAGCGGTTTTCCCATTTCCAGTGCTAAGCTAACCTAACCTGCTGCTGGGTGTAGCGGTGAAAGTGGTATTAATCAACTCTCGGTGGCCCTGCGATGGACTGGCGACCTGTCCAGAGTGTACCCAGCCTTTCGCCCGATGTAAGCTGGGATTGGCTCCAGCCCCCCTGCGACCCTGTACACAGGATAAGCGGTTGACGATGGATGGATTGATAACTCTTGGTAAGAAAGCTTATTCCCCAAAATGTCGAACTATTCCTTTAATCTTTGACTGTCACAAAATGATCTTAATCTTTGCATTTCATAAAATACTGCCCCTGCTGAACAGAAACAGCCAGTACACATATGTACGATTAACAAATGAATGCTGTATTTCTTGAAAGATTTATTCAAACGGGACACATGGGCCAATGTCGTATGAGTGCCTATAGACATTTCAGTCAGTCAGTCAAAACTTTATTTATATAGCATTTTGTATGCATGAAAATTCTGTTCATTCCCTTAATCCCTAAAGAAAAAAAAACCTCCAGAGAAATTTGTCTTGAGATACAGAGAGTGACGTCAGATTGCCCAGTCTGCTTTTAAATCTATAAAAAGCCCTTATATAAGCTGAGTAGTCAACAAATTTCACAGCAGACAGGTGGTACAGCATACATATATACACAAGTAGTACATAGCAATCCAAGGCAGCCTATTGCTGCCTATTACAAATTATCATGAAACAATGCATGATTTTTTTTTCTGCAGATGCAAAAGCTGTACAAGAAATCACTTCATCTTCCGTTCATCTTTCAGCTAATGTGTTGGCAAAGCACTTGGATACAATGCAATATATTTTAACATTAAATACATGAGTGCATGTATACCATACAATGTAACTCAAAAAAATCACAAGCTTCAAACATTTGACATCCTCTGGTGGTAAAGGAAGGTGAGCGGGGCAGGGTTGAAGGGTGCGCAGCAATGAATCTAAAATCTGGAAGCACTTTCCATTGGTCAAATTAACTTTTTTTTGTTTTTGACAGGAGCTTAATCCTTGAAAAAACACAGTACAAAAAAACAAACTGACAGAAAACAGAGAAACAATTGAACCATACACCATAATCTATATATTGCTAGGGATCATGGAGCCCAAGTATGTCTACCAGGTTGCATTCAGATAACCTGCGGTAGAATACTTGTTTCTTTTATAGAGAGGAAGTTTTACAAACAACAGTCAGTTAGCTCTGAGACGAGCGAGTGACGCCATAGTCTGTCATTAATCAAGAGAGATTGAGTAAACGCACTCTAAGCTGATGATCCAAAACAGTCTCAGCATTCTCACTGTTTTGGATGTTTAAGCATCAGTTAGGTGTACTCAGTTTCTCCTGATTCAAGGCTTTTGGTCCTGTTCCGTACCACAAAGTTGTGGACATTGTATGGAAGATATAATTACTGTTACATGTCTGTGGCTTTGTCTTGTTTCATGTGTATGTGTGTGTAAGTTTGTGCATGTGTTCAAGTATTTACATCGTCCCAGCCAGAGGCAAAACTGTGGCTCATCAGAGGCCTTTTCCATCTAATTTGTTCAGTGTTGTCACAGTTTTTTTTGTCACAGGCAGTCCTTTGCCTGATGGGAGTCAAAGAAGTCCATCCAGCATTGACATAAAAAATCCTGGATCCAGGATGCCTGACCACACACTAAAAGGTGTTTTCCAGCACATCAGCTCGATTCTTTCTTGTGATTGTGGCACCTCTGATGCGTATCAAGAATCAGTCATTCATAGTGTTCATTTAAACTCTCATCAGCCAATCATTGTGAGCCATGCCAGTCAGCAAAATCTGAGGGAAGTTGACAGTCTCTGTAAGATTGCTGGTAGCCTGTCATCAGACTCTACTTGTCCTGATGGTCTTACTGTAAGACTCCACTCTTTATTTGTAAATCCTGGAGCCAATTTTGCCATTTTGTTAAACCTCCAGTTTTGTCTGTTAGCACTAGCATTAGAATCCCACACATCAGCCATTGTTTTCGGACTATGAAAGCCTCCCGTTCCTCCAAAACCCAAAAACAACAATAGCTTTGATGTTGAAATTGTGCGATTCAGAGTAAAGACCAACAGCCCCTTTAAGCTAGAATAATTTTTAAAGCTGGTTGTTTGAGTACATCACAGAGATAAAACCCAGAATTAATGGTTTCAGACCACCCAGACAAATCCAAATGAAAAACAACCATTGCCATATCAGCTGTGTCCATGCAACCCAATTTCTCTTTTCTGTCTCATCTCCTTCATCTGCTCCCAAGCCCTCTGCAGAGCTCATTCTTTTGCTCAGCTCTCCCTTTGGTTTTAACACCCGCACCCTCGTTAGCACCCACCCCTAAACTCAGAGGAAGGCTCCAGACGGACAGAAAGACAGAGAGATAAGGATAGGGTGAGGACGGTTGGACGCTTATTGCTTTACTGACGCATATTGCTTGTTTACTCGCTGTCATTCCTCGTTTGTTCTCAACCTCTAATGCATTCCGAGTGATTAAGGACAGACCCCACAGAATATTTTGGTAGGGCTTTTAGAGGCCAGAATACTTTTCAAATGAAATGACCCACTTAAAGTGCGGCACCTCGTAGGAGTAAAAGTCAAAGAGTCAGGGAAGCCATGGAGAAGAAACATGCTGTAACATGGTATATGGCATACTGTGCAGTGCTGGCGAGGGCATAAGCGCAGACTTGTTTGATGCATATTCACATCATGCATATCCCATTGATGCTTTTGTATTCATGATCCCCATTTTCTGTTGATCCCTTATTACAAAAGCATGCCAGCAGCTCCGAGTACCTCTCCAACAGCTTGCCTACAGGTTTTTCACATCTCGGAGAGGTAAAGTGGAAAAGCCACTGCAGCATTACAAACAAGCATTATATTGCTAATTTATTCTCTTTCATTAAAGTTTTACGCCGTTGCTCATTTCATTTGCTTGTACATTCGCAGCTCTATAAAATTGAGATGCGAATTGGGGAATTTGGCTGACTGACATTTCTGCTTGGAAGAAAAATCAATGGATTCAAAAATTTTAATCCACGTGTTTCAGTTTTAAGGTAGCAGGTTGACACCAGCAAATCCAGATGTGAATAATATATTTCAAAGCATCTGGTTGTTGGTGTCCCAGACTGTGTTTGTGCATGTGCCCTTTCGGGGCGTGAGTGTGATCACGCTCGAGTTCGCTTACATATGTGGGAGCATGACGGTGTATTAGGGCCTGAGTGATTTGCAGGAACCTCTGTCCACCTGTAAATGTGCAGGTGGGTCCAGAGTATAACTGGATCAAAGTGGCCTGCGGACAGACATATCCTGGTTTCTCTGTAGTGTCCAAGGGTTTTTGAAGTTTCAGTGGACCCAAAGATTGCTATGGACCCGAGTACAGACTAGCTAGAGAGAGCAGATAAAGTGTACTTCTCTATTTATTCTCTTTTCAAAATAATTGTAACTCAGTTATTTGCTCAACCCCTCAGCCTGTTTTTATTTTCCATTTAACTCTTTTAACCCTGATTGTACACTGCACTGTAACTTTTATTATATTTTAATGTGTATTTTTTCAATTCCCCTATTATGTTTTTAAACTTTTTTATATTTCCCTGTTGCTTTTGTTTTATGTAAAGCACTTTGAATTACCTTGTTGTTGAAATGTGCTATACAAATAAACTTGCCTTGCCTTGCCTTGCCTAGGGAGTAAATCTAGTCTGTGACTGACTGTCATTAATTATATTTCCCTCCCCGTACACACACATACACACATGCTGAGGACCCAGTGAGAATACCACGGTTTACAACAGCTTGGAGCACTGGGTACGAAACACCAGACAAGTGCTTGGTGCCCATTGCTCAGCCCTCCATGGACATGGATGCACAGAGGTAGGTCCGGGGTAGATGACACTCTGCTAGGAGGCAGCTTGGAAGCTGAAAAAGAGAGAGAGCGGCAGAAAGAGAGCAGGAACGAGATGAAGTGCTAAATAGTGTGTGACTCTGGTAAGAGCTGCTGTTTGATTAGGTTCCACCACCTGTCTGTGCTATAGCATGTGCCAGGCATATGCACTGCGGCATAGCTGGTGTCCTCCTGATAACAAATGAAGGTGAATTCAATCAGTGAGTCAGGCTGGCTGATGGACTGTTTTGGATGGTGGAAGAGGAGGTTAGAGATTTTGAAGGCTGAATTTGTAGACTGGAGCCATCAACCAACACTGTACAAATAAACTGAAAAATGCAACATAAGGTAGTATGTTACTCATTGAAAAACCGATTACTAATCACTCATCAGAAACTAGTTGCATTCCTTTTGTCACTCAGCCCAGCAAAAAGTTCCTTTAAAGAGAAATTGTGGAAATTTTAACATGGCGTGTTTTACTTGATTGTGTCTGAGTCTCGTCGAAAGTAAACCCAGCATCACCTGCTCACCCTGCATAGTTTTAATTCATGTGTAAGGCTGACTGGATCACTGTCTAAATTCTAAGCTAAATTCATTGCCGGATTATCCCGTTGACTATTATGAGGATAATCACAAGTCATTTCCCTTTGGTCAACCGTATTAATTGGAACTGGACACAGATGAGGAGCTAAATCAAATGAAAGGGGAAAGACTAAGAATGGAGGCAAAGACAGGAAGGCAACTGGGCCGTCCTGAGAGACAACGTACCTCGGGAAACCGGTGTTGTTCCTGCTCTCACTGATCCCCTGGGAAATCTGGCCGAAATATACCAGAATATTCATTTAAACAACTCCAAAGCCTCTACAACCATATGTCACAATTTCGATGTTTAACCAGGTATAAATAGAAACAAGAGTTTAACAAATAGCCAGCCGATGGTTTCAATCTATTTGCTTACGGCTAGCTTAATGGTAGGTACGGGTACTGCATGCAACACTCCAGAAGTCCAAACCATGAAGCTGCGGGGTTCACATACACTCCCAATCAACCAAACCAACAGAACCAGCTCGTTCCTGAATGTGGGCTTACCAGTGGTTAATGTTAGCAAGACAGCTAAGAAGACACAAGATGTAAATAGAGAGTTTTCCGAGTTAGTGAGAGGCCGTTTCTTCTGCAGCTCCTACTCTAAGTTAACACTACCAGACGAGTTGGTCCACTGAATGTAGAGCGACCAAAAAATGACACGTTACTAAGACTACTTGACTGCTTTTATGCCAACAAAACTGATGTGTTTACTGTATTTGAAAGCAGGAATTATATGGCAGTGACAATGGTTTCAGCCTTGCAGATTATTTTAACACTGCAGCAGTCGTGCATCAGTTGTGCATCAAACAGCTGTGCTTTGACATAGCCATGCTAGGAAAAGGTGCCCTTGTAACGCATCACTGCTTGATCTTGTTTGATTATGGAATCGTGTCAAATGTGCAGATCTATTGTCTGAATACAGTGAATCTTGTAATCTCTCTCTCTCTCTCTCTCTCTCTCGATTCAGATATATATATATATATAAATTCATTCACAATTTCACTTCCTTTTACAACCAAATGCCCGTACCAATATGCAGCATTCGCTGACATTTCCACCAACCCAGCCTCATTTGTGAAAGAGCATTTGTGTGGAGCAGAGAGGGAGAGAGAATGCAATGACTTTGTAATGACCTTTTTGGATGCATGGACTCTTTTGCTCTTTTTTTCTAGGCAGCGTGACACATCCTGGATTTTCTATAGAGGTAAACATCCACAGCAACACAAAAGATGGTGACCGAAACAAGCAGTTACAAATACCAACTAGAGCTTGCTTATTCACTTTCCCCAGTTTCTGAGGATCAGTGTGTCGAGAGACAAGTGTGTTTCGGCTTGTGGGGTGGGGGTGCCTATGGTCTCTGACACTGCTGGGAACTTTCTGTAGTTTTTGACAAGTGTGTAGTGTGTGTCTATATGGTTCAGATCCGTCTCATCTTATTTGCCCCTGGAATGAGATGAATAAACCCCCCCACCACCACCACCCATGCCGCCCTCATCTCTTGTATGAATTGCCAGGCTGATATCTCGCTCTCCGGAGGGGCTGGAGGGCAACGGGAGCTGACAACACAATGGCATTGTTTCTGCTGATGGGGAGCCAAAGTCTCAGGGGAAACACTCCCCTACCAGCCTCTCCGACAGTCTCCGAAAAAGTGGTCAGAGTGCGTCTGGGCTAGTTTGTGGGGTAAATAGTGTCTGTGTATGGTGGAATGGTGCTACAGAGCAGTGCAGAGTGTCTTTGAGGTGGGAGGGGGTTGAGAGGAGAAGGAGGAGAGAGCTGTGCCAACACACTGAGAGGCCACTCAATTATTTAGAAGAGCTGCCGGGTTCAAAGAGTCACAGCCAGCACCTGCCAATCCGCCACCTTCACAGCTTATCTGCTGCTGCTGATCCAGTGGTCTTAAAAGTACACAAATATCACTCACATTATTATTATTATTGTCAACAATGATGAGGAAAATGCAGAATTAAAAAAATTCAGATTATACACGATATTTGCTTGCTCCCCTATTGCCATTACGGCTGTGGATATAAAAGATATCTGAGCATTTCTTGCTTACAGCTCCACTTGGTTTCCTCTTCTGTCTGTTCACCCATTCGTCCCCATGTTCAGACAGTGACCTCTGTCTTGCTGTTGGTGGGCAGTCCCTTGTGCCTGGGGTTCATGTGTGGCGAGTGGCCATAGCCCAGCGGCTGCGAAAAGAGCTCAGGAAGCGTTTCGATGCTGAACTGCCTTTTGTTGGAGTAGGCCTGGCGCCGGCTGTTCTGCTGATGCAGGGGCTGGTGCTGCTGCTGCTGGATGGGGTGGTGCTGCTGTCCCTGGAGGGTCATGTGGGTTGCCGTCGGGTGCTGGATGTGACTCTTACTGGGGTCCCATGCTTTAAAGGCTGAGCTGGACGTGAGTGGGTGAGTGTTGGTCTTGGAGATCTTCGGCTTGGGGATCTGGGAGGCATTGATGGTGATGGCCAGTGGCGCATGGATGTCGGGCGGCGGGAGGAAGGGCTTGTCCTTTGGGTGGAAGTTAATTGGCTGGAAAGTGGGAGGAGACTGGCGGTGGGTGTAATCTACCATTGGGTAGCTCTTGTAGTAGTCTCTTGCACCCGTTTCTGGATGGTGGATGGTCGGAGAGACAGTGGAGGAAGGGAAAAGAAGACAGACATGGTTAAATCATGATGCTAAAAAGTGGTGTAATTAAAGTATAATAATGATAAGCAGCAGCATTATTCAGTGCAAACTAGCAGGTTTTGCTGTTACTGTTGTTGAGGTTAAAGTTCACCTAACACAAAAAAAAAGCCAAGGCAAAGACAATGAATCCTGCAGGGTGTACAGTGAGTGAGTGTTTGTGTCATATTTATGTATTTGAGCTTTGAACTGTCCGTGGAGTTAAAAATACCCACAGCACCAGAGAGAAACAACTAGCGGGAGAGAGACTGAGAATCAAGAAGAGAACCCACAAAATAATGGATAAAGCCATATGAGTAAGAATGATGGGAGATAAGTTGGGAGTAAAAATAGAGTGGGTTCAGTGTGTCGAGTCAGATTACTACAAGCTACCCCCCCCCCCCCACACACACACACACACACACACACACAGTGCCCTTAAGACACTAACAACCTTGTTTGCTTAGCCCCGTTTTATTGGTCCTTTTTTTCCTGGAGAGAAATAAGAGACTAAGAAAAAAATTATATATTCTTCTGTATGATGGATGTCTTTTCCCTTCATTCTAGTGCCCTTATTGCTCTGATTTAATCTTCCATTTAGCTTGAGATCTTTTAATATCTTAACATCTGTCTTCCTCATAACATAACAGGAGGCAGCTGCTATCAGCTTGTACTACGTGTTTATGACAAAGTACATTTGTCTGCGCTTTTTGTTTTTATCGGTTTGTGTGCCTGTGTGTCAGATCGTATCATTATTACACTCCAAACAGGAACATAATAATAAGATTATGTCAATAGTCTGGTCAGAAGATGTATGACCAGTTGAGTTTAATGTGTTGTAATGAACGTCAATGAATGTGGCCATTAGTGGGTGCATGCATGTGTCACAGTGAGACCACACACTGAATGCATATTTGCATCATTAGACTGCTTGAGCTTTTGAGTTTTGTGCTTGCAGTTTCTAGAAAATAGAGCCTAACACGCTGACAAGCATGATGTGTCTTCTTGAATGCATGATTTTCTGTTTGCAAGGAGAGTCTTTATCTAGAAACACAGAGTTTAGCAGAGGCCTGTTTTTCACACTGTAGCTATTGCTGTAAATTTATTTCTAATCATGTATTCTAGCCAAGACAGCTAAGAAGCTTTTCTTGTGTTTGTATTAAAACATGGAGGAGTGGTATCACATTCACACATGTCAGGAAACTGTCCACTGCTATCACAGTTTTGTAATTGCTTATTGAACACTTCAAATGTGGGTCCATTGTGTACCTCCAGGGCACTTCAACAGCAGCTGTTGAGGAAGGAGACAGAGTCACCGGTAATCATTCACTCCCTCAGTAAAATTCTCCAAGCTGGTCCAATTATTTAAATACAATCCTGCTTTTCTCTACAACCATTTTAATTGTTGTTAATCTCAAAGGCCAACTGGATATGTTCCCCTCAACATGACAAAGCAGCTGATGAAAGATATGAAACGTGCTGAACTATTTCCACTGCCAGGACCAAGAAATCCTTTTTCCTGGTAGAGGACCTGGCTACACAGAGCTAAATACTAACCAACAAGATGGTGCAAGAGAACAGCTGACAGCGAAACAGTTTTAGATATTACATAGAGTTATGGAAGAAGAAGGAGCAGCCACAGTGAGCTGTTAGAGGATGAGCTACAGGAGACAAACTGCACACCTCCAACTCCTCAGCAAGGTAACCAACTTCTTACAGATGCAACAGACCACACCTCTGGCTACACCTAGCAGTGATGCTGAGGTGAGACAGATGGAAAACTTTCAACCAGAGAGGGCAGAATGCTCCTTTACAGCCATGTGATGGGTTGCTCTTTAAACTGGGAAGCACTTCTGGGTAACAAAAGTTACCCCTTTAGACAGTATGTCCTGCAGACATGTGGAGAGGGATTTAAAAGAAAAAGAACAATTAAATGAATCACTCACATCAATTGTTCAAATAACAGAGATTTAAGAGGCATATGTTTGCATTTTAAAGCAATAACGTTTTGCAATATTGATGACTAAGAATGACGAGAATGAACGCAAAAACCGTTTTGCTTTCATTTGAATTCTGCAAGAACAAACGTGTGGGGGATTAGTGTGTATTTGTGTGTCTGTTTGTGAATGTGTGTGAATTTGTGTCTCTGGGTTCATATGTTCATGTATGTGTGTGTGAAACTGTATGTGCATTGTGCAACAAAGAACACATTTACTTACATTCTTCGCTCATTGAAATGGGAATAAGCTGCTTACGTGTCTGTGCAGTAAAGAGCATCACAGTTTTGGCAAATTTTACCAGCCTGTTTGTCACAATGACGTGAAGACTCGCTGGACGTCAGCAGTATTGCTACAGATCAACAGAGGAACTACCTTTTATTGATTGTGGACACTGTATCTCTGCTTCTGGTGTAATGCACTACAGCTGAAGCTATAGCAGCAGCCTTTGAGAGCAAATCGGTTCAAATCTCTGGACAGGGCGGGAAAATCTGGGACGGCACAGAAACAATGAATTAAACACACCCTTCCTTCCCACAACAACTGCTGTTGCTGTCCATTTGAGTGTTTCCACACATGTTGCCAACAGGAGCACCTGACAGTAGGGTCCTCTGTGACAGTATTATGTGCCTTCCTCTCCATTTAACAGAGTCTCCATCTGCTCATTCTTTCTCTCTCTCTCACTCATGTTTTCAATTCTTTCCATCTCTATTTCAATTTATTCCATACTCTTCAACAACAACTCTATCCAGCAGCAGCCTAAAGCACGGCCCGTGGGTCCAATCTGGGCCACTGCATAACAGCTGCATGAAATGGGCCCTGCAAAGTGTATTACAGTTAGACAACATACTGTATTCTATTTGGTCTATTTTTAATGCCATTTACTTATGTTTAAGCAGTTATTCTGAGAGAACTTGCTTAGTACAATGCCTATCGACACACATGACAATGGCGTAAGAATTATTCTGCAAACAATCTATAGTTCTGATGCATTTTGGTAAGTGGCCATTATTGTTATATTCAGCACTGTAGCACTCTGCTCTTCATAACTTTTAGATGCAGTTTTGCAACCCCTAATTTTAATTTCACAAGCACTTCAAGAGGCTTTAAAGCTGTCATCCTGTCAGAACCAGAACTGATCATTGCTTGTAAATGAACCCTATCTTGAAGTGGAAAACTTTGAAGCAGTGGGATTCCTTCAAAGCCATCTTTTGGGGGGGAATTTTACATCACTTCAACTCGTGTAGTCATCAAAAATTACCAAAACTTCTTTCACCCATATTTGACCGGAAGCACATGCAAAAAAATGCAGTAACCACACTGCAAAAGCATCTAATAATTGAATTGTATACTGAGTCTAAATGTGTTTTTCTGTAAAACAACTGAAAAACTACACTCCGGCCACTTTATTAGGTACACCTGTTCAATTCCTTGTTAACAAGCACTGGCTGGACTGAGCATTTCAGAAACTGCTGATCTACTGGGATTTTAACACACAACTGTCTCTAGGGTTCACAGAGAATTATCTGAAAAAGAGAAAATATCCAGTGAGGGGCAGTTGTGTGGACCTTGTTGATGTCAGAGGAGAATGGGCAGACTGGTTCAAGATGACAGAAAGTCAACAGTAACTCAAATAACAACTTACACAACCAAGGTATCTTCTGATGGCTACTTCCAGCAGGACAATGCACCATGTCACAAAGGTCAAATCATCTCAAACTTCTTGAACATGACAATGAGTTCACTGTACTCCAATGGCCTCCACAGTCACCAGATCTCAATCCAATAGAGCACCTTCAGGATGTGGTGGAACAGGAACTTTGTATAATGGATGTTCAGCCGTCAAATCTGCAGTAACTGCGTGATGCCATCATGTCAATTAGACCAAAGTCTCTGAGGAATGTTTCAAACACCTTGTTTAAAGTATGCCACAAAGAATTAAGGCAGTTCTGAAGGCAAGAGGGGATCGAACTGTCCAGCAAGGTGTACCTAATAAAGTATATATAGAGTCATTTGCTTGTTTCCATTGTAATTTCAAAAAACTAATGACAATCAAGTAATTGTGCTTGTCCAGTTGTTGTTTACTTAACTCTAAAAACTATTTAATAAATATATTTAGGACTATCTTGAAAATGTTGTTCCAGGTTACCTAGCATTAAAAAATATATGTATTTAAATCGACAGCCATTTTTCTACAGCATCTTCAAATGGTGCTCAGGCTGTTGGATCATTAGACTTTAATTAAAGACATCAGGCAGTCTTGGCCCTGAACTTGGAGTCCTAGTATCCTGGCAAACAGTCTTTCTCGCCCTCTTCAAGAAAATCCTTATGTTGTCTTTTCTCTTTCCTGGAGGTCTGACACTCACTGGAGACAAACCTGGATTGAACTCTATGGATCACACATAAAGCATTTGTGGATATATTTCTAACAGCTTGCTCAAGACTAAGTCAGGCCGTCTAAATCCTACCATGTAAGTTTATTTCTTCCTCCTCTCGCTCTTCTGTCCCTGTCCTCTCACTTTCTCCGTTTCTAACCTTTAGCATCTTTATCCCACATTTTCCCACTGCCAGTCAACATGTCCTCTTTTAATTGAGATAGATATATCAGAGCTGCTTGGGCTAGACTCCTGCTGCTACACCTGGCACAGGTTAACTGTCACAGAGTCTCGACCTCTTTGACCAGTTATACCCTTCCCTGTTATCTATCCTTCTCCCATCCTTTTTTTGCTTACTGTGTCTTTTTCTCTGTTTCACCTCTTACATTTTGCTTTGTATAAGAGATTTTTGAACTCGAGCTGTTTACCGCTGCATTAAGTCCCAATGTGTTCATAAAGATTTCAAAGCAGCTTGTTCCAGGTACCTACTGTTTCACCTGGCAAATGGTCAGCTATCCCATCCAAACTGTTCCGTGTCCTAGCCATGACTTTGTCCGCACAGCCAGGATCTTT